ACGCGGCCGGCGGGCCGGCCCCCGGGCCCTCCGCCGCTTTGCTCCCCATCTCCCTGGTCTGCTGGCTCCCGCAGCAGACCAGGGAGACGGGGAGCAGCTTTTCTCGCCCCGGAGGAGGTGGGCAGCGGGACCAGGCGTCCCGCCGCTCGAGTCCTCCGGGGCGAGAAAATCCCCGTTTGTAACTGCGGATCCGACATAAGTCGGATCCACGTAACTCGGGGACTACCTGTACTTTAATACAAGTTATTTATAAAAGCTGAATCCTTTGTTCTGCTTACTTGTTCTCGGGCATTTCATCAGTAAAGCTGCTGAGTAACAAGGGAATCAGTTTGTGGAAGTAAGAATATCTATCCCGCAGGTGCAATAGCCATTCTCCAACAACACCTGTAACAGCTTGCCGTACCTAGGAAGGTGACAAACAACAGAGTGAAAAATTTGCTATAATTCTAGAGTATGAAGTGAAGAACTTTGAAAACAAAAGCCTTAGAGCAGTGGTCATCAACCAGAAGATCAGGATTTACTGGTAGATCTTGGAGCCTCTGAGAGGTGATCCTGACTGGTTTGTTAAGGAAGCTATCAAGCGCTGGCACTTCAGTTGCCCCTCCACCTGCTGTCATGCTGTTCCTGCCCTCTGTCTTGGAGGTGCCCTCTTAGGAGCCTCTTGCTTGCTGTGTAGGGTGTGGGAGGGAGAAGAGACAGGGTGCTGATGTCAGGGTGTTCTTCCTCCCTCCACTCCCGTACTAGGAATGTTAAATTTAGTTTAATCAACTAATTGACTAGTGGATGGACTAGTCGATTAGTGGATAAGAGGGGGAGCTGCAGCAGAGTTAGCTCCCAGCTCCAGAAGCTCTTAATATATTTAAAATAGCACTTAATATATTTAAAAGGGGACTAGGAGCAAGGCAAGACAGCTGATTCCCGGCTCATGCTGGGTCTCCTTGCTGCAGTCCAGCCTTTTTACATTTAAGGCTGGTGTGCAGCGGCAGTATCTGACGCGAGCTGGGCAGCTGATTCCCAATTCGCACCCTGTCCCAGACACTGTGCCTCTGCTTTTTAAATGTATTAAGAGTCCGCTGGCTCACACCAGATCCCTACTGCTGCGGTTCTGATTTTTAAATGTATTAAGACCTGGCAGGCTCTTTAGTACATTTAAAAAGCAGAGGCACAGTGTCTGGGACAGGGCATAAACCAGGAATCAGCTGTCTTGGCTCGCGCTGGGTCCCCCCTTTGAGCTTCAGCCTTTTAAATGTATTAAGAGCCTTCCAGCTCTTAATACATTTTAAATGCAGAGCCACAGCAGGATTAGCTCCCGGGACTGGGAGCTAACCCTGGTACATTTTAAATGCAGAGCCACAGCAGGATTAGCTCCCGAGACTGGGAGCTAACCCTGGTGCGGCTCCCCCTCTTATCAACGAATCAACTAGTCGATGGAAAAATCCATCTGATTCCTGGCTTGCACCTGGTCCCTGCTACCCTGTCCCCCACAGAGATGGTGCTGGGAGGTGGGGAATAGGGATGTTAAATATCAGTTAACTGAATAGTCAAGTAACCTTATGTATTCTGGAGCCCCCTGTCACTTTGCGCTGCTGCTTCTGTATTAGAGGCAGTATTGCAGGGTGCCAGGCAGGAGCTGATCCACGAAGGGAGCCAGTTTAAAAGCCAGCTCCCCTTGCAGACTGACTGCCTGTCCCCCAACTCCCACTGTGGACAGGGGCTGTTGCCATATCAGAAGCAGCAGCACGGTGTAAGTGTCTGAGCTCCTGGATCCAGCATGAGACAGAACTGAGCCTGTGCTGCCTGTCCACCTACCTCCTAATAATAGTTTAAATGCAAAGTCACAGAAGGGATAGATCCAAGCCAGGACTGAGACAGGCTGCTGGCCAGCCTGCTAAAAAATTTACTGGCAGGTTGGATGAGGGAAAAGGCATGTAGTCTATAGCATTAACCGATAAGCAAAAGCTTATCAGTTAATCGACTACACTATTACATCCGTAGGGTGGAAAACCAGCTTTTAAACTGGCTGCCCCCTCAAGCTCCTGATAGAGGCAGCAAGCGGGGAGAAAGCGACTAGTCGACTACCCAATAAGCTTTTGCTTATTAAATAATCAACTAGCTGCTTACATACCTATTATGTACCCTATCTCCACATGGAGAAAAAGGGATGGAAGCAGCTTGGCAATGAAAATCTCTGTTACTCTCACTCATTGTGAGAATGACAGAGAGACACACACACGCACACATCTCCCAACCCAACACATACATGAGTTGTTGTTATTTTTACTGCTTGCAAAGTGTGTTATTTTTGGTTTTTGACTGGTGTGTGCATTTCATTATTTTCATTTAACTCTTATGATTAAATTGAATTCTTTGAGTAGTGAGTTCTAAAATGCCTAACTTGTCATGACTGAGGTAATTATCCCTATGGCAATTGCTGCTCCTGGACATGACTAGCATGTCTCTGCAGCCCCTGAGGGAGGCAGAGCAGGGGGTCTCCACATACTGTCTTTGCTTGCAGGCACCGCTCCTGTAGCTCTCATTGAACAGTGATGGGGAACTGTGGTCAGTAGAAGCTGTGGGGCCAGTGCCTGCAGACGAGGTACCACTCTATATTCAGGGTGTCCCTTAGCCACTTCCATCCCTGGGGCAACTGGTGTTGGCTTCCAGGCCACTGCCTTCAGAGGGTCCCTTATCCTGCTTTCCTAATGTGGGAGCCAGCTCCATCCCTGGGGCAGCCTGTGTTGGCTGTCTGGCCACTTCCAGGGTGGGTGGAGATGGAGCAGGGGGATGGACTCAAGCCCCCAACCCTGTGCTGCCTAGGTAAATGCCCTATAGCTTAAGCCACTCCAGAACCCCCGCCCCCTGCCTTCAGCATGTCCTCTCCCACACTCCAAACCCCTTGGCCCAAAACCAGAGCCTGCACCCCAACCCCCTACCCCAGCCTGGTCAAAGTGAATGAGGCTCAGGGATGAAGAGGGATGGAGTGAGCAGAGTCAGGCCTCCAAGAAGGTATGGAGCAGGGGCAGGGCCTCAGAGAAGGGGCAGGAAGGAAGTGGGGCAAGGTTAGTTGGGTTTGAGGTAGATCTTACATTGCACTTAAACTGAAAAAGTGATCTTGTGGTTAAAAAGATTGGAGACCACTGCTTTAGAGTAAACTTTAGTGAAGTGTCTAGAAGAGCCATTTATCAAACGTATTTACAAAAACAACAACAATACAAATAATGAACTGTAAGTGATCTTGTGGTTAAAAAGATTGGAGACCACTGCTTTAGAGTAAACTTTAGTGAAGTGTCTAGAAGAGCCATTTATCAAACGTATTTACAAAAACAACAACAACAACAACAATACAAATAATGAACTGACATAAAAGACAAGTAAGCTTTGAGGGTGGGGGGGGAGGAGGGCATAAAAGACAAGTAAGCTTTGAGGGTGGGGGGGGGAAAAATCAGGCAAACTACAGCAGTAGACTGCCTATATTTCCAGAGGATCATTATCTTAGCCCATCATTCCCAGAAGGAGAGCTCCAACATACAGTATTTCCATTTAAATGATGGACAAATTCGGACTCATTCTAAATCACAGTAGTTCTTGGAGGAAGTACCTTATGGAATAAGGAAAAAATCATGGCATCCTCTGCTAATTTTTTTTTTTTTAAATAACAATATTCATTTATACAGTGCATTTTAAGCAAGGCTCTCTCTCAAAGATTACCACTTGTGATATAGATAGGATATATTATAGATTTTATGAGACTCCATTTAACCTAAAATGTTTGTGTTCCCCCACCCTGAGATAATATTCTTCATAGGCACTCAGTCCTGCTAGCTGGCCCAATTCAGTAAGTACTTAACATTATGTACATGAATAATCACATTAAAAGTCAATGGAACCAATCATATGCTTAAATGTGTACATAAGTGTTTTGCTGGATCAGGCCAGAATGCTCAGTCCTTTGCTATATCAAACCCTAAGATTGCAAGGAGAACATAAACGCTATTACTCAATTCTGTCAACCAACACTTTAGATTTTCTAGTTTACTTGGTCTTCAAAGTTCCTATTTCCTATCTACTGATACTATTGTGTTCAGGAATTATTGCAAATCCCTTTAATTTTACAAAGATTTTTGTCAGCCCCTGGAGAGTCTGTCGGAGACTAAAATGTAGACACCATGTAGATTCAAGGAGGAGTCCTTCATAAAACACAGCAAAGAGTTTTCAATTATACACATATTACTAAGGGTCAAAGAACTAATGGACCAGAATTCTAGAAGTATTTAGGCACTGAACCTCAACAAAAACCTGGCCCCAAGAGAAGTCTTCAAAATTAGGTAACAAGGGGTAGTATAGACTGGAACACAATCCAGAACTTCTGATACTAGTCTACATGCCTTTCCGCAAAAAGTTTAGTATTACAAGTACATGCCGTCCTCCTTCATTTTTTATTCTCTCTCCTTGATGGCCAATTTTTACTTGGTCAATTTTGTACATTAACATACAAACACTTTAATTCAGCTGAAGATAGGAACACAATTTAACGCATGTCGTAAAAAGTTATTACATTATTTTTATCCCTAAAGTATGTTAATGAAGATGGGGAACAATCTGGACAAAAGAAAGTAGAATTACCTGAGGAATCTCATCAAAAAGTCGCTGGGCCAGATGAGAGAGAACATCGTCTACAGATTTTCCATTGCCAAACTCTATCACTGTTCCTGTGGCCTGAATCACAGCAACACGGACTCTGAAGTGCTGGTGTGAAATTGTTTGCATTAAGGGTTTTATCAAAAATTCTGACTGCATATGAAAGTGTTCTGTAACAGGAGAAAAAGAGAAAGCTCAGCTCTGCCCTTACATGTATGCATACTACACTAGACCAGTGTTTCTTAAATTATGTTCCGCGGAACACTAGTGTTCCGTGAACAACTCACAGATGTGTCGCAACCTCTTTGATTTTGTTACTTCTTTATTTTTGTCTTTTTTTGTTTGACAATTTTCTTCAAAAAAAAAAAAAATTGTCAAGGTATTCCGCATAAAAAAATATTATTGTTTGGTGTGCCATGGCCTCAAAAAGTTTAAGAAACACTGCACTAGACCTTGGGCAAACTTCACCCAGCATTTAGGTACTGTCTTGGGGACATGGATCTGATTTATATCACTGTGTTTATGTATACATATGGTCCCATTTGGTATAATGGTTAGACTGGAATAGTAGCACATTTCGCTGCCAGTCCCATGACCATCCCAACTCCCTGCTCCTTTTCCAGCTTGTTTCCTGTAATCCTATCCCTTCTACCCTGCTCTCTACTCCCCCATCCCGTTAGGATGGCCAGGTGCTGTCCACATACCTGCAACTCCTCCAGCCAGGTGCCCTGCACTCTGAGTTCCATCTCCAATTCACCTGCTTCATCCTCAGGGCCACTTTCAATGCTCCCTGCCTTCCCTCACCATCGCCCCCCTCCCCACTTCTCGCCAGGCCCGAGCGCACTCCCGGAGCCCTTCCCCGAGTCCCACCTGGCATAGCCCTGGCGCTGGCGGCCGCACACCTGCAGCTTTCACGCTTGACCTCGGGGTAGGGGTCGAGGAGGGTGGCCTGCAGGATGCGGATGACCTCGGGCAGGTAAGGGGCCAGAGCGGTGCCGCAGAGCTCCAGCAGGAGGCCCAAGAGCTGGATGAGGGCCAGGCGCAGCTCCTCGCAGGGCTCGTGCACCTGTCCCTGCGGCGGGCAGAGGCGCTGGGCCAGGGCCGGCAGCAGGCAGGGCAGGGCCTCGGCGGGCCCGGCCCCAGGGTGGCCTGCAGGATGCGGATGACCTCGGGCAGGTAAGGGGCCAGAGCGGTGCCGCAGAGCTCCAGCAGGAGGCCCAAGAGCTGGATGAGGGCCAGGCGCAGCTCCTCGCAGGGCTCGTGCACCTGTCCCTGCGGCGGGCAGAGGCGCTGGGCCAGGGCCGGCAGCAGGCAGGGCAGGGCCTCGGCGGGCCCGGCCCC